TGCGGATTTAGCCTCCACGCTGGTTGTCATGGTTTTCAATCTTGACTGTGTCGTGACTATTAGTTTTGACAAGATATCTCTCTCCTCATGTACCAACATAGACTCAACGTTTTACTCGCTTTAGTTCCTCCTGTTGATGCTGTCCGTTTGACACTGTGCCGAGGGTGTCCATCCCAAAGTGCGTTATCAGTTGTGATGCGTATATAATGCGTACATATGTCATGGTACATACGACCATAGGTACTGGAAAACTCGGCATCCGGCCAGATAGACTGGTAGTTGGGTCGGTGACGACCAGCGAATCCCTGGTGTTGTATGTAATTTTTGATGTTTTTGATCTCCACTTCAGTGGTGGTCGTCGATGACGAGAGAGGGACACTAATTAGCGTGATCCATGTCCAAATCGTGCCAATTATCGCGACACCAACAACTCTCTTAAGGGTTGGTGTTTTGGAGGAGCCGGCAAAGCCAAGCTGGTTTCTGTGGTCTTGTCTGGTGGCATATCTTGCGAGGGATGGAATTAATCGAATGTATAATGATAGATAGCCTTTAATTACGCAGCTTCTTGCGACGAGGCAGTGGTGGGTAATCTTGCTGAGAAATATCCATTCTCGGCCAATTGACATAAGGTAAGTTGGAGTTGTAGGAGACAAGAGAGAGGCCGTCTGGCAGCAGTCGGGTCCAAAGTTCCAAGTACCCGCAGGTGGAAGCACAGACCCAACCAATCACCGCCAAGAGCAGGGTCCTTGACTGGCCAGACCCGACCCCTCGTCGCCCCACATTGGATCTTGCGCGTTGTGGAAGGTGGGGTGGTGATGCTTCCCTCGGCAGGCAAAGGCAGGAAGGAGCACCCCTTTGCACCACCACACCACCCGGCGACCTCTAGTTCTAGGTCTTGGTAACATGGAAGTGACCATCGATTGCTGCAGTTAGCGCCAGTAGCTGTCCCCAATCCCCAATCCATCTTGAAGATTCGTCCAATTTCCATCCATGCCCGTATGTAGGCATCTTGTCGCTTCCCAGCGGGAGGACTTCGCCGATTGGCCTCTGTGGTTCCATTCCCTCAAACCAACCTAGTTCTAGCCCACAAACCTAAATAAGACAGGAAAACAATGGCGTCAATTAACGACCTGGCCACGGTCGCGTCGGTTGTCTCTGCACTCGCTCCTAGTCCTACCCCTCCCATTGCAACCCCACAGGGCCACGCCCAAACCCAAACACCACTTACAATAACATCAACAGCTACAACATCAACCATGGCCAGCTCATCACCATTTGATGCCCTAGGTTCTGCCGCGGCGCGGGGCGCCTTGGTCATCCTTGAGGGCCTGGACCGTAGCGGCAAGACGACGCAGGTCAAGCTGTTGAAGCAGCGCTTTGTAGAGCTGGGCCGCAAGGTCGAGGTGATGAACTTTCCAGGTTAGTTATTTACACAATGTGTTTATTCTGCTGTAATGGTATCCCGCAATCTGTTCCAGACAGTCACCGTCTGCCTTACCCCTTAAAAACAGCCGCCCACTTACAAGCCTGGCTCGCCTCCACAGACCGCACAACCGACATTGGCGGGATAATCAACTCCTACCTCCAATCCAAAGCCGACATAGACGACCACGCCATCCACCTGCTGTTCAGCGCCAACAGATGGGAAAAGGTGTAAGTCATCTCCCCCCATCCCCCTTATCTCCAATCCTACCCACCAACTGAACAATTCCCCCCCTAGCAATGAAATCACCGCCCTCCTCTCAGCCGGCGTAACCGTCCTCTGCGACCGCTACTACCACAGCGGCATCGTCTACTCGGCCGCCAAGCAGAACCCCTCGCTGTCGCTCAGCTGGGCGCGCGCCCCCGAGATCGGCCTGCCGCGCCCAGACCTAGTGCTCTTCCTGGACCTGGACGAGGCGCAGGCGAAAGCCCGAGGCGGATGGGGCGGGGAAGTGTACGAGCGCGGCGAGATGCAGCGTCGGGTGAGGGAGCTGTTTTGGGGGTTGAGCATGGGCAAGATTGGGACTGCTTCTGTCGAGGGTAGCAGCCGTAGCGGGAGCGTACCGGGCGCTGGGGCAGGCGCTCTTGAGAATGGGGGCGTCGGCGAGGAGGTGGCGGTGGGTGCGCCGACGCCTGACAGGCCGACGGGGACTGAGTATCGCTTCAGGCAGGAGGAGGAGGATCTGCATGTTATCGATGCCAGCCCGTCGGTGGAGGAGGTTGCTGAGGAGGTGTGGAAGGTGGTGCGGACGAGGGTGGAGGCGGTGGAGAGGGGGGAGGTGGGTAAGGTGGTCAGGAGGGTTACGTGATGGGTGGTGTGGTAGTGGCATGTGAAACTGTATGAATAGGGAGGCGGTTGCTGTCGATATTGAACTGTTGAATGATGTTTTATCACAAAGGGAAATGGGGTGGTGTGTACGATAAAAAAAAACAGACGAGAGGATATTCGATGCCGCGGCGGTTGAACACGCCCGCGGCAGGTTGAGTTGAGCAAAGTATCTAACTGTCTACCCTGTTATATACACACGCATGTTCATATGCGTGTCCTCCGCCATCGTCATCTCCTAGATACCCCACCCAATGATGTTGAAAACAATAACATCAGACAACAAAATGTTGATGCGGCGTGTTGAAAGGACCACCACCAACCAACGCCAAAGAAAAAGCCCAGATTGAAGACAGATTACCACCAAGACCTCCGAGTGAGTATGAACCTATTTAGTCTAAACTATGATGCGATGTTGAGATCCTCGCCGCCGCCGGCTATATAACCCCCACTCTAAGTATATGCCATCCAAAGGTCGTAATGCTGCCCCCCTTTTTGTTTTGTTTTCTGGCTCCCGCCAAACGCCACAGTTGATGCAGAGTGCGAAAATCGCCAAATAAAAGGAAAACCAAAAGTCAAAATGCCAGCCTGCCATCGAGTCAAATATGAAACGATTCCATCCCTCCCTCCCCGCTTCCTCCAGTTTCCTGTCGTCGTCTTCTCATTGTTGTTGAACCACATCACTGCCACCATCACAAAACGCCATCAACCCTTGTGGTCCGATATCGGTAACACAAGATGTCTTCCTTTTCCTGCGCAACCCATGCATGAAGGAGTTGAGCAAATTGTCCCAATCATCTCCTGTTCACGCCAATCAGGCTCAAGAACTCGTTCCTCGTCTTCTCCTTGCGCTCAAAGCAGCCCAGCACACAGCTCGTGATGGTGGTGGTGCTCGTCTTCTGCACGCCGCGCATCACCATGCACAGATGGCTGCTCTCCATGACGACAGCCACGCCCTGGGGCTTGAGGATCTCCATGATGGCATTCGCCACCTCCCTGGTCAGCCGCTCCTGAATCTGCAGCCTGCGCGCAAACATCTCTGCGATCCTGGGAAGCTTGGATATCCCAATGACGGCGTTGTTGGGGATGTAGCCAATGTGCATCTTGCCGGTGAAGGGCACCAGGTGGTGCTCGCACATGCTAAACACCTCAATGTCCTTGACAATCACCATCTCGTTGTGGCCCTCCTGGAAGATGGCGCCGTTGACGATGTCGCGCACATTCTCCTGGTAGCCCTTGGTGAAGAAGAGCATGGCCTTGGCGTAGCGCTCGGGCGTCGCGAGCAGGCCCTCCCGGTCGGCGTCCTCGCCGACGCACTCGAGGAGGGTGCGGACGGCGCCCTTCATGCGTGTGAGGCGCAGCTCCTTTTGTGCGTCGGTCTCCTCAAGGCGTTCGCGCGTGCCGCACGAGGGGCGCGAGAGCCCGTCGAAGTCGATGACGGGGGATGGTGAGCGTGTGGAGGACTCGGCGAGGTCGGGAGGGGTAGGCGCGGCAGCGGGAATTGTGGCGATGAGGGCTGCATCGGCTGCTGCTGTTGTTGTTGTTGTTGTTGTTGTTGTTGCTGCTGCTGCTATGGGAAGGGTGGTGGCTGTAGTCTGTGTCGTCATCTTCCTTCTCTTCTTCTTCTTGGCGGGCGGTTCGGGCTTGTCGCGAAAGTCGCGCGCGGGTTTGCTCACGCTGGAGCGGCGCTCTGCAGGCGGTGGTGGGTGGCCGCCATTTGTCGCAGCCGTGGAGTTTGCGCCATCATCGCTCTGACCCCTTTTCTTGCTGTTGTGATTCTTGCCGTTTCTGCCGCTGGTGCTACTGTTCTTGTCCTTCTTCTCGCCGCCGTTGGGGGTGGCGACGACGGAAGCGCCGGAGGGCCCGTCAGAGTCGACTTGATCTTCGAATTGGACCATTATGGTGTGACAGTGTGTGATGAGTGCTCGGAGTGCGTGCGATTGTCGCAAAATCGATTGTTGGGGTTGCAGAGGGCGTAATGAGGTGGAAACACAGGAAGAGGGGCGGCCCTCTGCGGTGTGGGTGAAGGGTTCAAGAGGGGTCCTGGTCTCTGGCTGGGCTCCTGGGTCGGTCCTCGGTCCTGGGTCTCACTCCTCACCTCCGCCTCCGGCTCCCCGGGGCGGGTTTGGTGCGAAATTTTATGGCACCGTAGCAGCCAACTTTTTCTCCTTGACTCAGGGATTAGCCCAGCGGGCAAGGGTCGCTGCTTAGCGTGGCTTTTGACGTCAAGAGGCGGATGACGGGGCGTGGAGGCGATGTCGGCGGCGCCATCTTCCTCTGCCAGTCAAGAAGGAAGGCAATGAAAATAGAAAAAGCTACCTACCCAGGTAAAAAAAAGACCGTGCAAGGGGCAATTCCGGTGCAAATGAACGCTGCTGCAAACCATTAGTCTTTGTTTGGTGGCTTTCCCAGCCCACCCTTTATCTCGCTTTTGGCAATGCGAAGCCATGGAAAGTCAAAAGTCAAAAGACATTGGCTCGATTGGATTGGAGGAGGGACTCCGCAGTATCTTCCCAATCGGGGAAAGTGGACGTTGGATATGGCGGGGTCAGCTGCGAGCGGGCTCGGCGGTGGAGCATGGAGCCGCACCGCGCCAGACAAACTGCTCTCGACCGCTGTCTCGACAAAGACTCAAGGTGACGGATGAAGGAGAAAATAGCAGGACAATACACCATCTGAAGATACACAGTCTGGGATGGTAGCTCAGAGGTAGAGCAACCGGCTGCAGTCCGGTAGGTCACGCGTTCAATTCGCGTTCGTCCCTTTTTGCTCGTTTATGTAGCTGCAACATGCTTTTTGTTCCTCTCTGGTCGATGTTATTGTTATTGCGACATGGTCCCTGGGTCGCGACACTCACGTGATTGGCCCTTAACGTCCCAGGGCATGATTGAGCCTTCCATTATTGGATGCCAGGCCGCGACGCGCCTTCCTTTTTTTTTTCTTCCGAGTCTCACGCAAAGACTCACACTTCGTTCTTATCCAAGCGTGTTTATCCAGCTTCCCGAACCAGCGTGGTCCCACCACGTCTTGCTCAATCTTCTCGCTCAATTTTCTTGCTCAATTTATCAATCAGTACGTACCTAGGATCGTCTGCGGCCAGAGCTCCTCCTACGGCCCCCACTTGTGCCACGCGCTTCGGCTTGGCAGCTTTGCCAATCATGGCGGCCAAGAATAACTCGTCCTCCTTCTCATCATCCGTGACGCCCTCGCGCCCACAACTCCCACCCATCAACACCATGACGAACAAGAAACGCACATCCGAGGGTGGCCCGTCACCTGCGCTTAAGCGCCGCAAGGCGTCGGTGCTCTCGGTCAGCTCAGCGACGGGCTCGGCCCACCCCCTCCGACAGACGTCATTCCCGCCCGACGAGTACGGCACGCCCTCGTACGATGCGCGCTCCCCCTCGGTCGACATGGACGCCATGAGCTTCACTGGCAGCCAGGTCAGCGCCACCGGGCCTCTCAAGAAGAAGCGCGGCCGCAAGTCCAAGGCCGACAAAGCCCGCGAGGCCACTCCCTCGGTTGCTGGCGGCGGCCGCGCAGCCACCACTGCTGCCACCGATGCAGGGGGCAAGGGCAGCAAGAAAGACGCCGGTGCTGTTGCAGCAGTAGACGAAGACGATGACGAGGGCCCTACTGAGGTCACGGCCACTAGGAAGATCATGACCAAGCAAGAGAAGGACCAAGAGCATCGCGACAAGGGCAACCTCATTCAAGGTCTGGCCCCCAAACAGTTTTCCCGTTACGAGAACTGGAGAGCCGCAAATTTGAGTAAGGCCGGCGTGAGAAGGGTAAGTTTGCATCTGCACTACGCTGCATGTCTTGTTCCTCCTGCTGACAGATGCAACCCGCCAGCTCATCAACGCCACCATCTCACAATCCGTCACCGAAAACGTTGTCATCGGCATGCGCGCCGTCGCCAAGGTCTTCATCGGCGATATCATCGAGAGCGCCTGCGCCATCCAGCAGGAGTGGATCGAGAAGACGGGCGAGAAGCAGACGGACCTACCCACCCCGCCAGCCTCGGTCGCGTCATCAGCCGCGCCGTCGCCGTCCGCCCCCAACGCAGACGTCAACATGGAAGGAACAACTCCAGCAGCGACAGAACAGACGGCAGCGGCAGCGGCAGCGGCAGCGGCAGCGGCAGCGGCAGCGGGTCAGGATGCTACTGCTGCTACACCCGCCGCCCCAACTCTCACAGTCGCCCAGATGGGCGCAATTATAGAGGCCGAAGCGACTCCGCACGCGCCGCTCCGCCCCGAGCATCTCCGCGAGGCTATTCGCCGCTACAAGATGTCCCGCGAGGGCGGAGGCGTGGGTATGCAGGGCCTGTGGCATCAGCAGCAGCAGAACGGGGTCGATAGGTTCCCTACCAGGACGGGAGGGCGGAGGATATTTCGATGATTTGCGGAGTGGGGTGGGTGGGGATTTGCATTTGATACCTTTCATATCCGAGGTTTGGAGGTAGATAGGTCGCCAGCGCTGCATATTTTGGGCTTTTATGGCCAACGGATGGGTATAAACAAGGATGGATTAGGGATGGACCGGGGGCGCAGGTATTGACTTTATATTTGGCATGATATGGGCGTTAAGGGACTTTGTAGCAGTTTGGATATGTATGGCTTTATAGGAAATAAACCATGGCTGTGATGCAGTCACTCAAGGCAGCGATAGGTTGTGCTGGTTCCAATGAGGGTGTGCTGGTAGCCAGAACAGTAGGGTGAGTACCTGGGTGGTCCTCAAAACGGGATGAAGAAACCTATTAATTCACTGTTCTTCATCACATTCCCTGCCCCAACATATCATGCGATTGGCGATTACGAAGCGGCCGAGACAATGTTCCGAGATGTCTTTCTCGGATCCGACCATCCAGAAACCCTAAAGACATTGCGTTCCGTATTCATCATACAGTTGGAGATTTCCAACACCATGGAGGTTTCTAACATCACGAATGGGTATCGAACATTCCAAGAGCTATACTATCGCTGTCGCAAACCTGAAGTTCGGCAGCAACGTTTACTGTCGCTGACGAATTGTTAAAGCACAAGATCAAGCACAAACCTGAGGATATCGCGGATTCTGGATATCTGGTCGTGGAGAAGCCTATCGGGGAGACAGAACAGCACCGTATCTTCGTTATACCGCGGCTCTGTACATAGCGTACCAGAGGCCCCTAGAGAACGTAACCTTCACACAACATGTTACAAGAGAGCGGGAGCTTCAGAAGTGTGTGTACAGGTTTTTAACATTTCATTCATTCAGCTGCACATTCTGCTGTGGATAAACCACAATGTCCGGGATCCATAGCACAGCATAACGACAGACTTTATTCAGATGCTGTGTCAACACCCTCCACCATATGTCTCCACGCCAAATTTCCCACAAGAATAAGCCACGACAACCATAAAAGTCATCGCTCCTGCCAGCTCAATGTATCGCTCATTCCCACGTCCAAAAACACAGGCTTCCCTCGGCGCAACTCCCAGAAAGTCCCGAATCTCAAAAACCAAAATCGCCCTCGAGTCGCCTTCCGCCATGATACCGTTATGACTGACACACCGATGTGTGAATCCATCGTCTCCCCCACTCCGATCAAGGGCTTAGACCAGTGTGACCATGTCGAAATGGGTCGGTCGACCCCGGAGAAGCCTTGTAGCCTGGAAACGGTGTTAGTGAACCCATCAATAGTACCAACGTAAGGTTAACTTACCCGAACTACCCCTTCTCCAAGTTGTGTCCGTATCGACCTAGGAGGACAACGTACTGCTAGAATCGCTCCCACCGTGATTGGACAGATCAGCCTCATACGCGATGGGGTCATAAGCTGCCGGTTGCTCATCAACCACCTGTTTTGATACATCAGCACATGTCTCGTCATCACAAATTGCTGGACGCGGGGATCTCACGGTGTTCGATGAAGAGGCCGGCTCCGGTTCGCTGGGCGGCGGCGACGGCGGGCAGGGATTGCATCCAGGTTTGTTGTCAGGCATCTTGTTAGTATTGTCGAGCTTAAGCTTGTCTGTAGCAAAAGGTTGCTTGCAGGTGGCTCTTGCTGAGAAGGTTGGAGTTTGGGCCGATGGGTTTGATGAGAATTGTGGTGGTGTAGGTTCAAAGTATGGTCTGGGTGTTGGTTTGGTAAAGTTGGGTTGTGTTGTCTTGATGTGTTGCTGAATGCTGGATGTGGGAAAGAAGAGAGGGACCCCAAGCCGGAAAATCCTGAGGTCTTTATACCCGTGCTCGAGAGGGAGCAAATCCGTCCTTGAGCCATTTCCGCTGCCGTGACGTGGAAATCTCAGAGGCTCTGACGGCAGAGTATGAATTGGTCAAGAGGCACTCGCTCGCAGTGTGTTGGTGCTGGAGCTGCCATGGGCAGAGGCTACGCGATCCTATTTGTCGGACGAGTTAAGGCTGCTGACAAATATGGCCATTGTCGAGAAAAAGAAGTTGGATGTGTAGTAGATACTCAGCTAGACAGGGCACAAGGATGCCCTTGTACGACGCCTATCATGACTCCCTACCCTCGACCTGTTCCAGGTCTCTGAAGGTCGGTGGAGACCAGGTAGACGAGGCCCATGAAGGCCCTCGATCGCAGATGTATGAATGGAGGAGAAGATCAGTGCAATGTGCAAGTTGATCAGTCAGATGGGTTCGGTTGCAACAGCCATGTCATGTCATGGAAATGGCGCCATCTTCACAGTGTGCTGGTTGATCGAGATGGTGGCCCGTCTTGTAATACACCTTGGGGTGGGGAATCACAAATGCACAGTACTTCTGCTGAGTCCTGCCAATAATACATATGTATTCTGTCTGTCTTAGTCACCGTGATGTAGGGTCGGGTAACTCGAGGGCGGATGGAAGAAATCAGGGTATTCGTTTGGCTGCCGATGTGTTATTCAGCGACAAAATACGCCTCCAAGTCGTTTGCACAGCGGGTCTCTGAGCAAGTGATATGAGTAAGGAATCGACCCCCTATTTGCTACATACGGCCATAGATAGTGGAAAACTCGGCATCCCGTCCGCTCTGCCCTAGATAAGCCACTAATCGCCAGACTAGTAGTTGGGTCGGTGACGACCAGCGAATCCCTGGTGCTGTATGTTATTTTCTTTTTTGCTTTCCCTTTCTGTTTTCTGTTCTGCTTGTTATTTGTTTATTGTTCTATTTCTTGTTCCATCCCTTGGCCACAATGTGGACTCCTGACCATTATGCATCTCGAGGACACAACATAAAAGCTCACATCAAATTAAGCAAATAGTATATCTCTTATTACTACTAAGCAAAGCTGATAGAGCAAACCATGCTGCAACAAATATCCTCGTTGCTTTCACCCAAGCACCGTAAATACACCCCGCCCGCACAAATCAGACTGAAATATCTGTGACGACGACTACCCTTCAACTGAAATCGTTCATTCATCAAGCCCACATAGCGAATTTAGTCCACTATCGAGCACTGTCTCGCATCTCGAGCCTCGACGATTGCCAATCACATTTTTGACTCCGAAATAGCGACATAAAAAGAAAACAATTCACCCACAATACAAACAACATTGCTAAAGATCAGAGCCTACCGCATCTTGACATGGAACAGATAGCGAAGGCGAACCTGAGCAACATCATAGGCGATGTACTCGTTGTAATAAAGGCTCGAATTCCTGACATCGGTGTCTCCTGGGGGGGTCGAGGGGTCGGGCTGCGAAAGGTTAGAACACGCCATCCACTCAACGGGTAGTAGCCAAAACTTACCATCTTTACTCCCTCCAGAGA